TGCTAAATCCATATTGATCAGCTTATCTGGACACACAGGCCTCAGGTACAAACAGCAGCAGCGTTTTTTCCCCCTGATCTGCGGATCAGCACACACAGCAGCCTCTGCACCGAGCCCTTCTTTCCACTCAGTGCTCCGGGCACCGAGCGTGGAGCATCCCTGGGGGGCTGCAGCCCTGGTTCACCTGCACAGCCTGGCCAGGAGGGGCGAGGGAGGGAGCAGATGCTGTGTCAGAAAGCTCTGATTAGCTGGAGCCCCACTGCAGGTTACCAAAGGTTCCAGTATTCTGCCTTTCAGTGCTGTCAGTCGCCCCCAGTAAGCTGTGGGAGTTGAGGAATTTCAGCAGCTCGGCAGATTAAACCTCAAGAGCAAAGCTGTCACCCAGGTCTTTGTCATGCAAACTTGAGGCCAGGCTCAATAACATCCTGTTCCTCTTCTGCATTGCGGAAGCCTTGAAAAATTGATTTTCTGTTTTGCCACTGAGTTCAGTGGAACCAGACTTCAGCCCTCCAAGGGAATTGTATTCCTGTAGATTGTAGCTACTTCTGAAATCCTTAATTTCACATCCTTAAGTAGCAAACTTTGTGACAGACCAGGTGTGGGTGCAAACTTTGCTGAATGTTGTTGACCATTGCTGGGTTATTACCTCCCTTTATGGTCTGGAACACCTCTTTTTTTCTCCCCCTTTCAAAATGCATTTCACGGACTTGAAGTCCTGATCCAAAATACACAGGAATAAATACAAATTTGTGTATTGATCTCCAGAAAAGGATTTTGAAGGGAGTTGATCACTACTTATAGCAGGAATGCTTTTTTTAAAAGAAACAAGAAATGTAACCTATTAGGGTAACATTAATCCAGGGAAAACACTTTCTGGAGCGGCCAGAGCTTGTTAACACAGCCAACACCTGAGGCAGCACTGTGTCTTTAAGCTCTACTAATATTGAACAATAATAATTTTGGTGGAGGAAAATCTTCCCCTCTCCCTGAACAGGAACAAGACATATTATTGACTGCCATCTGGAAAGATGGATGCTGTGGCCCTCAGAGTCTATTAATATTTGATGCTGATGGATGTGAGCTGGCAGCATGAGTTATTAATGGAGTTTGGTTCCTTGGATCTCACCCTCAGTCCATGGTGGGGAATTAGCCATAACAAGAACTGGATGCCCAAAGCTCTCAGGGTGCTGGGAAGGGCTGTCAGTTCCAGCAAAATGGGTGTTTCTGGAGTACTTACAGGCATGGAAAGTCATAGGTGGGGCTGATTAGGTCACTGCCACCATTCATTCTGACTTAAAGAGGACTTTCAGGGTCCCAGGAATTGTGGATTCCCTCCTCTATCTTTGCCATATTGGGGTTCTCCCATCAGGTCTGGATTTCAAACAAGAAGTTTGAAATTTTTTGTTTCACAGAAGCTCAGACACCACTCAGTGGTGTTAATTGCTGAGCAGGGGTGAGGTGTGGGACACCCTGTCCTTGGTGGCACTCAGGTGGCCTCTCCCAGGCTGGGGGGTCTGTGATGCAGAGCAGAGAGCAGGAATGTGCTGCTCCACACAGAGCTGGCCCTGACCCACATTCCCCAAAGAGAGCTTTTCCCCAAAGTCAAATTTGACCCCTGAAATTAGAAATAATCCAGTGGATAGATTTGGTGATATATTTTGATAAATTGGCCCTTCTAGGTGAAAATATTGAAAATTAAGTACCTTTGAAAGTTTATGATGTCCATATGGGTCATTCTGATTGGGAACATAGAGATGGAAAATACCAAGTTATTTATAGCCCAATTTCTTAATATAGCTTTAACATTTCCAGGGGTATATGTTTGACTGAATTAGCTACTCCTTCCTGGCATGGATACCACATCCAGGCATTGCACTATCCTCATTAACCTCCCAATCTTAATAGAAAAAAAGAAATGAATAATCAACATAAGAAGCTCAGCTGTTGATTAATTTTACTAAATAGGATAGAAATATAAAGTACCATATTGCAAGAGTGAAGATTCAATACACACAATTTGAAATCGGTTTATTAGAATATGTAACTCATTAACAGCTGGATGCATACACTGCAGCGTTATCCACTCGGGCAGGTGGTGAGAGGGAGGTGGAATTTACATATCTTTAACAGTACCTGAATGCATTTCATTTCAGAGGTCATTCTCCCAAATCAAGTTCAAAATGTTAATAACAAGGTGTGCATTTATAATTAATAAAATCTTAGAGCCAGTGCTATAGTTCAAGTGCATTTTCCTCTTATGTAATTAAGAAGTTAAGTGTATTTGGCAGTTGTCACTCAGAGAGCTCTGAAGGTCTCGCTTGTCAAACCTGGGGATAGAAATCTCATTAAACCAGGTTTTTTTTTCAGTTAAGGTTTGTTTGCAAAGTACGTGAGTGGATGGTGGGCAGCCAGAATGGCCAGCTCTGTCAGTCCATAAAGCCAAGTACATAAAAGTAAATGCCAAAACTCAAAGGCTTGGAATAAACAGCCTGATATTCAGCTTGTGAGAATCACAGAATCACAGAATCATAGAATCACAGAATCACAGAATCTTTAAGGTTGGAAAAGGCCTCAAAGATCACCAAGCCCAACCATCAGCCAGCACCACCACTGTGTTCACCACTAAATCATGTCCTCAAGAGATACATGCACATGATTTTTAAAGATTTCAGTGATTCCACCACTTCCCTGGACAGCCTGCTCCAATGCTAGGCAGCCCTTCCTGTGAAGAAATTTTCCCTGATATCCAATCTAAACCTCCCCTGGTGCAGCTTGAGGCCATTTCCTCACTTTATTGTCCTGTCACTTGTTACCTGCGAGAAGAGACTGACACCCACCTCTCTACAACCCTTTTTCAGGGAGTTGTATCCCTTTTCTTTGGACAATCCCAAGTGATTACAGAAAACCAGTGAACCCATTCTAGTTGTGGCTGGCACTGCCCCCTAACACAACCTGCTCTGTGGTCACAGAACATCAGCTGAGACACTGGAAATCCTCCTGCTGCCCCCAGGCCTGGCCCAGATGGTGTTTTACAGGCGTCAGGATGTGGGGATGTGGTTTTGGGGTGATTAGTGGTTGGACTGAATGATCTTGAAGATGAATCTGTGGTTCTGTGGTTGGTTAATGTGATTCCCAAAGGGGTATTTTAACTCCACATCACTCTGCTCCCCTCTCCTTTTCAAAGGAATTTTCTTTTCCTTCTGGATCACTAGTTCAAATCCAGATAAGGTCAGTTGTCATAGAAATTATTAGCAGTACCAGCAGTTCTGTGTAGAACATGGAATGAGTTGGGAGTTTCATTCACACGGGATAAGGGTTCCTAAGTGGCACTAATTGGCTGTCTAATTGTCACACACAGGAGAAAGGCAGAGGATTGATTAGGCATGGAGACTGAATGCCCCTCTGCCAGCCCGGGTTTCTGGAGCTCATTCCATAGGCATGCTGGCAGGGTAATGAGGGGCAGCCTGCTCTGGATTTCCTGCCTGTCAAGGCAGCATCTTTTCCTGCCAGGCCTTTTCAGGGGCACTTGTTTTACTCCACCAAGGTCAAAGATAGCATCTTTTACAAACAGTGCCTTCACTCAAAAATCAGAGACTTGCAGGATTTACTTGTGAGCAGAATATTTTAACCATTTCCTTTCCTTTCCCCTGAAACAAAGTTTTTGGTCTAAAATAGGATGAGTCACACTGGTGCGAGGCAGAACTGCTCCAGCAAAGCAGATGGGGGTTTATGGTGCTCAGAAATCTGTTCATATTTCCTTGTGCTGTCTGGGTGTCTGCTGTGTGATATACAGGCTCCTGGAGGTACTTGTCACAGCATAGGGAAGCTGACATGGTGCACATTTCACTCCTGATAAATGGATCATCCAACCAAACAGTGAAGCTTCTCACCTGCAAAAATACATTTTGACCAATATCTTTTCCCCTGAGCTGTGGCACGGGTCACACCCTGCAATGGAGTTACTGTTTAACTTGTAGCAGGTTCACTTTCCCTGGCATAGAACTAAATTATTTAAGTTTGACTCACTGAAGTAGTAAATTTAGGAGCTAATTTGCAATGTGAAAGTCAGGATTACACACAGAGGAAAAGGAAGCAAAAATACCTTGTATATGTTAATGTGTAGACCCAGCTATGGGACTCAGTAAGTTTACTAAGGCTTAAACCTCAATTAGTGAGGTTAAACCACAATTGCTTTAAACCTTATTGTACTCACATTTTAATTCCCTTGTTGTATAAGATGAACAGTATTAGTAAGAACTGTGTCTATCCTTTCAACCACACAAGCTGATCAGTGCATACAGCACACCAGAATGTAGTGTTAGAGCATTCTGTATTTCTGTAAAACAGAAGTGTTTATTCTCCTTTCCCTCCCTTTGCCCACACCTAGAGCAGAAATAGGACAAAGACCATGTTTGTGTGCTATGCTGTATGCCTCCTGTCTCTGACATACACATCACTCCTGTTCTGCCTTCTTCCTAAAGTCACAATCTCATGCAAATTAATTGCAAACAAATGCAGGTAGCAGCTACGCATCAAAAAGATCTGATGCACCTGCCATGTCGTTTTCCTCTCTGCCAATCTGTGGAAGATGAGCATGCACGAGATCCTTTAGGTTTTTAACAACCCTATTCTTAGAATATATTTTCCAAGAACCGCAGAGCAATCTCTGCACGGTTTCAGACTGTATATTTTGTGATTAGTGTTTCGTAAGTGATGTTTTGCTTAATGATCTAACATCTGCTCTAGGAGGTTTGTTTTTGTAACTTCCCCACCTCCTGCTGAATGAATGCCAGAACCTTGTCCCTTTCCTCCAAGTCAATCAAAGCACTAATTGCATCATAATCATGGGAAGCAGCGGTGACTGCTCGAGTGCTGAAGAGTCAGCAATCAACTCACAACACTCTGCTCACTGTTCAGAGAGAGAAAGCTTCCCTGTGCCGAGCTGGGAATTTCCTGCATGCCAGATTTCTTTAGCTGACTCTGACTTTTCTGGGTTGCAGGGAGATGACTGCACCATTCCCTGCATGGCTGGAACCTACGGAACCAATTGCTCTTCGGTTTGTAACTGCAAGAACGATGGCACTTGTTCCCCTGTGGATGGGCTGTGCTACTGCAAAGAAGGTAAACAAAATTCACATTTAACAAGTCCCTGCCATCCATGCCTGTCCCCTCTGAAAGTGGCACAGCTGTGAAGTCAGGAACTTCACTATTTTCTTGTCTTCCCAAGTATCCCAGCTCAACAGTAAATTCAACCTCTGCCCTGAACAGGGGCCAGACTTCTTTGCTCTGCTGCACAAATGTGTCACAGAGCTGAGTGTGGGGGCAGAGGCACTGCTCCTGTCCAGGGCAAATGCAGAGCAATCCCCTGGCTGCTGGGTTTTATCCTCTGCTGCCCTGATTCTCCCAGATTCCAAAGCCAGTGAGCACAGGAGTGAAGGCAGCTTGCTGTCTGTGTGTCCTGCAGCCCTGACCTGCCTGCCCATCTCCACCTCGGGCTGCTCTCATTCCTGCTTTCCTGGGCTCCTGGCTCATCCCAGCTGCCAGCCCTGCCCTTAGGCACTGTGGGGTGAGCCCTGGCTCTTTGCCCTTGCTGCTCAAACTTCTGTAGCCTGACATGGTGACACCCCAGCCTTGTGCAGGTGTCCTCTCTCTCCTGAGCCAGCACAGGGTTCAGGATGTGGCTCTCATTTATTTGGGGAAATAAGAAGCCTGTTCCAGGGTGACAGACATCTTTTCTTCCCACACTACGTGTCCGTAATTCCCTCCCAGACGTGGTGGTGAGCACATCCCATGGATCCAGTAACCACCTGAGAATTCCTCCACTGCTTCACAGCACAGTGGCTCTTCTGTTCCCCCAAAATCCCAGTGTGAGCTATGCCTGTATGACATACATAAGCCCTAAAACAGAAGTGAGGCAAATAACAATAAAATCTGGCATTTCAAACATGAATTAATGGATCACTGTAGAACCCTACTTAATGAGGGTGTATAAACCATGAGTTACTGCTCAACTCCATGACACAGAGCTGCAATGTAATGAAAGTCATTGTGCTCCTGGTAGTTAAGATTTGAGCCTTAATGGCTAGAAATGATGGCCTTGGTCTTTTTTAGTTATAATAGTGGCTTTATATTAAATAGCATTCTCAAAAGGAAAGAGAGAGGTAAGAAACAGGCAGCATCACATGAAAAGTTCTTGCAGTCCTATAGGTCAGAAGGTCTCCAGCCTGACAGACAGGGACTGTCCCAGCAGTTCCTAGAAAGGCATCACACACCTAAATCTGGTTATAGCCAAGGCTGTGATGCCTCCATCTTTGTGTAGAGATGCTGGGAGGTGGAGCTGAGAGGTCACCATGAAAGGTCAGTCTTTGACCCCAAGTTAGTCTTAATTTACACCAAGAAACTGGTCCTAGAAACAAAGAGCTGCAGCTTGCCAGCTGCCTGTCTTGCTGTTTTCATGAAAACATCCCAGATGCTGTTCTGTCCCCTGTTTCCTTAGGGTGGCAAGGAGTGGATTGCTCTATTCCATGTTCAAGTGGAAGTTGGGGTCTGAACTGTAACCAGACGTGTTCCTGCAGCAATGGAGCGTCCTGCAGGCCGGCCGATGGCTTCTGCCTCTGCTCCCCAGGATGGCAGGGGGAGTTCTGTGACCAGCCTTGTCCTGTGAGTGCAAATAACAACTTGGGGTGGCCTTGCACCCCCTTAAATCCCAGTCCCCATCGCTCTGCTGAGCAGAGAGCGGGGCGGGATCTCAATTTGTCTGTGATGTCTGAAGGAAATCAAGTGTAAATAACAGATTGGGGTTCTAGCAGTCAACTGGATGTATTATCCTTTGCATTGTATTTTATCAAAGCTATTGCTGTGTTATCTGCATTTGCTTGAACGTCATTTTTTAAAGTGATTCCTCATTTGGTTCTGTACAGATACATTAGGCACTGAGTTTCTGTCTTGTCTGTATGTTAATTTTAAAAATGCGACTCAGCATTAAGAGGGACATGATAGATGATTTTGCACATTTCAGAACAAAAAGCTGATCACTGAGAGGCTTTTTTATTTATATTTTTGAAGGATGGAACATATGGCCTTAATTGCAGTGAGCGTTGTGACTGTAACCACGCGGATGGGTGTGATCCTGTCACCGGCTACTGCTGCTGCCTTGCAGGCTGGACAGGTAAAATCAGCAATTACCTTTGTAAACCTTGAGGGTTTTGTTGATCTGGGCTTTGGGGGGTTTTGTTGGTTTGTTTTGCTTTGTTATTGCAGCAGTTATAGCCTTGGACTTGTGACTGCCAACTTCTAAATAATAGATTGAGACAAGATCAGCTGAACTTGCCCATATTTAAATCACTCATGATGGTGACAATAATTGGCATTCATTAAATTTGTATTCAGATGAGTTGAAGATGGCTCCAACCCTGCAGCCAGATGTTAGCCTTCTGTAAAAGCATCCTCAGGAGGATGCAGATCATCCATAATCCAGTTTTTCTCCTTGAACTGCCCTTTCCACAGGGGTACAGTTGTGGGATGGTGAATCCTGAGATCATCACACCTGGGAGGCAAAAAGGGCATTTCTGATGAGTCATTACAGTTGCTCCATCATCCAAAACTCTGGATTTTCCCATTTTCCAATGGTTCTTGTCACAGGGTAGTTGCAGAGAGCAGATTAATGCTTGTTTGACAGAGTTATTGTGATTACACAGCAACAGAATATTCAGTGAAGTTGGAGAGTCCAGGCTGGAGTTCTCAGTACAATTGGACCTGCACTTGACTCCACACTGATGTTCTTTTTTCCAGCTTTTGACAGCAGTAGGGGGCAAGATATTGACCCAACCATTTCACACTTTGCTGCCTTAAATTCTGGTTAATCTCTCTCTGCTCTCTGCTGAGGCCCTGGGTGGAAATAAAGTTATGTTCCATATACTGCAGAACCACCAGTGGCACTGACAGTCAAAATGCATTTCTATTAACAGCAAGTCATTTGGAAAAATCTAATTGTTTTTCAAACAAGTGCAAGTTGGAAGGATGCATGGAACAAGGCAGGTTTATCAGGCAGCCAACATTTGGGATGCTGTCACCTTTGCTGTTGATTTATGCCTTCTGTTTCTGATGGAGAGGACATCCCAAAGCAGCCCAGCTCCCAGGAGCATGAAGCAAAAGCAATGAAATTATGCCTAAAACATACATACAATGGAAAAAATCTTTAAAGAATTAAACAAAATGCTAAAGTACTAAGTTGTACATATTGTGTACAACAAAGCTACTTTTCAAAGATACCAGGCATGTATCCCTGAAAAGGACATTTTTCCCCCAAGAAAATCCATTTTATAAGCTCACTTGCATCCCCCCCTTCATTCTCTTGCCTTCCTCGCTGTCTGGGCTGCATTAATCTTTCTCTGAGCCTCCTTGCCATCAATAGATTCATCTATCAGGCTTTAAAACTCTACTTTTCATTATTGATGATCAGCAGAGAAACAGCTGGTGGGTTTCCCTGTAGTCACTGTGAGCTTCTTCAAGGGAAAAAAAATGGCTTTTAGAAGTACAGTAATTTGAAGAGAGATATTTATATACACCTACTCTAAAAGTTTATTATACATCTTCTGGATGTAGCATTCCAGAGAAAACTGCAGGGACTGACCTTTGCAGGCAGTGCAGGCTGAAGGTGTGGCTTTTTCTCAAAGTCATTTGCAGCAAATACTTTGTGCTTACTCCCATGCACATCTGTAAATGGACATCAAATGCAGACACTCATTAATTAAAGGTAAGAATAATTTCTCATGTCCTTTTAATTTCCATATTGGGCAAGGTAAGTGTACACTATCTTGGAGGGGATTTGCTGCAGTCTCAGCACTTTATCCATCAGTGTGCTGCTGCAGCTCTGGAATTCTTCAGGATCACATTTCAGGGAGGAAAATACTGTATCCATATTTGAGACCAGGTTGGAGTTGAAATATTGACAGGGCCCTGTAAAGTGGAAATGTTGATAGACAGAACCAACACGTGTTTTGTCAATTCTGTTCCAAAGTTTTTTCCACTTGGCTTGGCACCAGACACAAGGATAAATTCTGCTCATACCAGTCTGAAAGTATGTAATTTAAGAAACTCCTCAGCTAGATAATTATATTTTCATATTAAGGAGTATGGCATCAGTGAAAGATTAATCTTATCTGCAGTTGTTGTGAACTGGGCCATGATGTGTATTGCAGTGCATTTTATTAATATGAGGTGATAAATAATTCAGGCTGAAATTTTTGCTTTCTGATTTTGGTGCTAATTAGGCATGGCCTGAAAAAGATCAGAAAAGTTCAGGATCATGGAACTTCTGAAGGTTCTCCTGCCCACTCACACCAAACAGAGAATTCACATGGCTTTCAGATCCTAATAGCCACAAAACTTTATCTGAAACAGCATATTCTGTATGTTCATCCCAGACGTGGGACTCCCTCTTGATGTCTGTGTTTTATGTAAAGATCAAGGGGAAGATTGAACCCATTTTCTTTAAAGTGGTTTCAAGATGTTACTGATATAAACCTTCAGGGACTGATAGATGGTAAGAACATGGAGGAGGACTGGCAAAAGAAAGAAAAAGTCATGTTCAGAGTAGCATGCAATGTAAGGTAATAGCGCTCTGCCATCCTTTTATTATGTCATGACTGCCACCCAAGACTATTACTCAGGACAATGACCTTCCGTGGATATCAGCTGGGGGAAGGTAATTTTCAGGAGCTGAGTGTCTCTGGCAGATGGGGAGATGATGAAGAGATCCCCACATCTCAAGCAGGAGGTCACAAAGCTGTGCAAACCAGCTGGATGCATAAATAAGCACAGAGGTAACAAGCTGTTCCGAGACATTCCATGGGGAATGGCACGTGTGCAGCTGAAGGCAGGAGCTGGATCAGCTCTGGAGATGGTTGTACCTGGAGTTACTGCTGAAAATCTCCCAATCTCGGGCACGTGGTGTCACCAGTGGCTTTGGAGACAGCACAGCAAGAACAGAAGCCCAAAACTGCATTGGCAAAATGCTCTCACGTGGTACAAATAAAGTGAAACTTGTGGGAATGTTGGTCAAAATCAGGTCTGTGACCTGCTGATGCCATGCAGAGCTGCATCTCCTTCCACAGGAAGGAAATGTGGGGTGCACTGACACTGAGGGCTCAGCCTGAACTTCTCCAGGTTGGACATGTGTAACCTCATGTATACAAATGCATGGAAATCCAAACAAAGGTGCACATATCTGGTGCTGGGTTAGAAAGGAAAAGTCTTGCTCTCAGAGGACCAAGTCTTGATTGCTCAGGCTGTTTTTTAAGGATTAATAAGGATCTCTTTATCTTTGCTGTGCATTTTAGGTACAGACACTTCTGTGTTTGCAGCTCTGTCAGGTCCCTCAGAGCTCCCAACACACCAGGCAGTTGTGAAAGAGGTGTTACTTTATGTACACACAGGTTGAAATGAAAATGCTCAGTGCTAATTACCTTTGGTTAATTAGGGATCCTGCACATACTGAATCCGCAGAGGGAATGGAAACACAGAAATGCTGCATGGTAGAGCAGCTCCTGGAAGTCCTTTGCAAGCAAACAGGTCCTGGAGAAGCAGGAGAGTCTCATCTGTCCCAGGTGCAACCTCCTCTCCTGGATGCTCAAGTGACAGTGACAAATTTCAGTTAGGCTCCTCTTAATTATTACATAATCTGAAAATGGACAGGAAAGGACCAGCTGGCCTGGTGGCCTTGCTGGGTGGGCAGGATGACCATGCTCCTGTGCCAGGTGTGGTGCTGTGCCTCTGGAGATGGCAGCTCCAGCCAAGCCCTGTGGGGGATGCAGGATGAACTTCAAACCCTCTCAGCTTGGCCCACCTCAGACAGCTGTTGGCAGCAGGTTTGGTACCAGAAATGGCTTCCTCACAGATTCCAGCTGGTTAAAACTGTGTAGCCTTTAGCTGCCTCCCTCAGTAATTAAATTAGAGATTCTGGCCTGTCCTCTCATTTCTGGAGGTGCCTGACCAGAGCCAGGTAAGACTCCCTGGGAAGACAGACCCAGGTATTGCCCATCCTGCCCCCAAGACCCAAGCCCATTTGTTTTCCCACTCCCAGAGTAATCACAGAAGGAGAGCCACAGGCCTGGCTGCTCCTCATGCTGAGCTCTGCTCCTCCCTGAGATGAGCCAACATGTTCCAGGTTAATTGTGGCAGTGTGTGTTTTGTTACCCTTTCAGCTCTTACATTGGGATTAAATGGGAAGTGATCTGCAGGGGGATATATTCCACTCTTCTAAATGCTAAGGTCAGTTAAAATCCTGTTTATCTGAATTCCTTTAATCTGAAATGCTGTCTTATCTGCATCTTGTTCTGCATTTTTTTCTTGTGTGGTGCTCTGGTTTTGCAGAGCTGCTGTGGTGATGGTATCTCTGTTCCCCACTGAGCTGGGGTACCCAGAGGCTTCTCTCAGTATCCAAAGCCAGAGTTTATTCACTCTATTTTAACATCCCAAAGATGTGTGGGGAAAGTTAACCTGGTGCTGTAGATATGAGATGGAAAACATAAAAGTGTGCATCCCGTAGTTAATTATAAAAGAAGCCCTTATAGATTTTCCTTAATTAATCAGGATGGCAAACACAGGTATGCAAATGATGCATGCTGCTGAGGAACAAACATCTTATTACTTTGGTGCTTTACACCTTCAGGCTTCATTCCTGGCTCATAAGAGCAGCCTCCCTCTTCCTTTGCTGTTACCCAGGAAATCAAAATGCACATTTCCCTGTCCTTTACAACCTCAAGAACTCTCACACAAACCCTGATTGTGTCTCCCCGTGTCCGGAGCTCCAGCACAGGGGCTGTGGCAGGCTGGAGCTGCAGGGCTCCCACCTGTGGGATCTGAGGCAGGGATGGGGTCAGGAGGTGCTGCTGGGCACAGAGCAAGGCAGCTCCAAGGGATGAGGCTGCAGGGCTGGGAGCATTTGCAGGCTGGCAGTGACATCTGCACTGTCACTCAAACACAGAAACATGTTTCTTGCCTCCTGTGGACACATTAATTCAGGAAAACTGATAAGCCTGTTACTCAAGGGAAAGCCTTTTTGAATTTTAAAGGAGCAGTGACCACTTTGATGGGAGCTCTAAGGTATTTTTAACTTCACTTTCTCTGAGTTCTTTGCAAGGAAGTGAAAAATCCTTAAAGGAAAAA